AGGGGGGGGGGAGAGATCCAACTTAAGGGTGCCGGGCAATGTTCCCTCTAAGCTGTGGAGTCTTGTGAGCAAAAATTCTACTCTCTGAGCTCCTGGCATCAAAGCTGTGAGCCAGCGATTTGGCTCCTGCATCAATTAGTTTGCTCTGGAGCCCTTCCTTCCTGAGCGAAGACAGAAATGTGTGAGCCGGAGGCTAAAAAACTGTGAGCTAGCTCACACGAACTCAGCTTAGAGGGAACACTGGTGCCGGGATCTGGCCCAGGGGCTGGGGAGAAAACCCCGCGGAAATCCTACCCCCCGGGGCCCCCGCCGGAGCGTGCAGAAATGCAGACCGCGAAGTTGGGCGGCGAGCGCTGCGCCCCAACTCCGTCGCTGGGGGAGGGATGCCCGGGTAGGTCACTTGGAGCGCACCGAAAGACTCATCCAGGGGCTCTCTGTGTGTGTTTTTCATGGGGCGGGCGGTGGGGACAAGCGGATTCCAACAGGCGCACCGTGCTGGGGGGTGGGGGGGATGCAACAGTTTTAGCAGCGCGGGCTGCCACTTCGCGGTCTTGCGATCTTATTCCGAAATCCCTCGGAATTAACCGAGGGTGACTGTTCCCTCTAAGCTGTGGAGTCTTGTGAGCAAAAATTTTACTTTGTGAGCTACTGGCGTTAAAGTTGTGAGCGAGCAATTCGACTACTGCATAAATTAGTTTGCTCTGGAGCCCCATCACTTCCTGAGCTAAGAGAAAAATGTGTGAGCCAGAGGCTAAAAAACTGTGAGCTAGCTCACACTAACTCAGCTTAGAGGGAACACTGGTGACGGGAAGGCCTGCGCCGCTCAGCTCTGCAATCCCGTGCGCGCTTGGCCGCGAGCGAGCGCCGCTGAACAAGCAGCCTGATCCTGTGTGCGGAGGGACTCGGGAAGGGAACGTGGATAGGATTGCCACCTGGTGGCTCCCCCCCCCCCCCTAAACTGGAACGTGGATTTTAAGCAAGGAGATCGGGTGCAGGAAGAGAGGAGAAGGAAGGCAAGTGCTCATCGTCCACCGCTGTCCCCAAATTATGGGACGTCATGGGAGCTGGTGGCACTGCCAAACCTCCGGGATGTCCTGTGGAGCACGAACTTTATTGGGGCACAGAGCCCTTTTCAGGGCACTGCACCTTTCGAGGAACCGAGAGACTCGGTGCTTGCGGTGAGACGCAGCCGGATTGGGTCAGTCTGCAGACTCTGGGAGGGCTCCTAGGCAGAGAGGCCTGGAGAAAAGGGAAGATAGATGAAGAGCGTGGGCCAGTGTTCTCTTTGGTGCCGGGAAAGTCATGATCAGAGCGTGGAGCCCACTTGTCTCCATATTCAGACTTGGCCGTGTGGTGGTGTGGGCAGAGTGTTGGTCTCGGAACCAGGGAGACCTGTGTTCAGATCCTCGCTGGCCCCGAAGCTTACCAGGCAACCCAGGACCAATCTCGGCAGAGCCCACCTCACCGGGGTGTTGTGAGGATAAAATGGAGCGGAGAACTCTGTCTGCTGCTCTGAGCCACTTAGAAGACGGGTGGGATTAAGAAAAAAATGCACTGGATAGAGATTACTCCCCCAGGAAGTGTGCTTGGAGCTGCCACTGTGACTGTTAAACATCAAGTGACGAACTAGATTTGAGTCCAGTAGCACTGCAGAGACCCACAAGAGTCCCGGGGCATAAGATTTCAGGAGTCAAAACTCCCTTTGTCCGACAGAAACTTCAAGTGAGGGGACTGTGGAAGTTCATGCTTTTGCGGTTTGTCCTTTTTCCTATAGGAGATGCAGTTAGGCAGGGCATCGTTTTTTCTCCCAGTTCAGGAGGTGAAAGAGTTAATTGGTGGCACTAGCATCTTTTTATCTATTTATTTAATTTATATCCCACCTTTCACTCCCAATGGGGAACCAAAGTGGCTTACGTCATTCTCCTTGCCTCCGTTTTATCCTTACAACAACCTTGTGAGGTAGTGTAGGCTGAGAGTGTGTGGCTGGCCTGAAAAGATCACCCAGTGAGTTTCCGTGGTGGGAATGGGGATTCGAACCCAGATCCTAGTCTGACACTTTAACCACCACACCGCGCTGTCTCAGTGCAAAAGGTGAAAGGGTTAATAAGTGCCAGTAGCCTATCTGCTTATGGAGAACAGGGGTCTCTCCTTTACAGAAAGGTGTGGGACAGCTTGAGGAGATCCCATTTAATAGAATTTTCTTAAGCAAATGGTACACAGGTGCTTCTGGCACAGCCAAATAAATTGCAGGCAGATTAGAATTTCCAAAAGGCAGATTGGGGCAGCACTTGGTAGTATTTACGGGACAGCATCTGCCAGTGGTGGTCTGTTAACCCCTTGACAAAGATGTTGATACATGGAGGAAAGAGGGGAGGAATTGAAAGAAAAAAGAATTTAGGTATTGAGGGACGGGTATTATTCTTCGGCAGGATCTACAGAGTGGAATGTGGGGTTTAAAAAAACCCCCACACATGTGCACCTGCCTTTGTGTCCATGCCACCCCCCCACATTTCTTTTAAGAAGCAATTGTGTGTTAGAAGGTAAACATGATTGGCCAGATCTATTTATAACAAATTCAGGGATGTGATGTTTCAAGGACAGGTGGTGTGCTGTGTAAGGGGGGGGGGTGAGAGAGAGATCTATTTTAGGTTGAAGACTGACATTTGACATTACATAGATGGGAGGATATGGAGGTCAGAGGCTCATTGCGTGTCGGAACGTGGGTTGGGTAATGTACCCAGACAGCGGCGAACCGATGTGCACACAGGATCACTTGGTAGAAACCAAAGATGTGTGTTGCATCTCACAGAAGAATACCGTACTCACGGGGCAACTGCAGAGGGCGGTTGATGAAATACAGTGAGGATCATGTCCCTAATCACTAATCTCTCACCTCTCTCTGTCTCCCCCCAGAATTTATTCCTTTTCCTGCTTTTCCTGGGACCTTTCAACTGCTTCGCGAGCTACAGCCGTGCCACTGAACTCTTCTACAGCATCAATGAAGGGCTACCTGCCGGAGTCCTCATTGGGAATGTGGCCCGGGATTTACAGATTCAGGGGGCAGTAGAGGAAGAGGTGGGGTCGGAAGGGAAGCAGCAGCTCCCCCAGCAGTGGGGGGAAACCCCTCTCTCCTTCTGCCTGGCCTCCCAGGGGTTGGGCAGTTCGTATGTCAACCTGGACAATCGGACGGGTGAGCTGCACACCTCTGCGCGGGAGATTGACCGGGAAGCGCTTTGTACGGAGGATAACATTGGGTCTTCTGTGGTTGCCTCTTCCTCCTCTTCCCCGCTACTGTCTTCTGAGTCATGCTTGCTGCTGCTAGATGTGTTGGTGTTGCCGCAGGAGTACTTCCGCCTCATCAAGGTGAAGGTCGCTATCCATGATGTCAACGACAACGCGCCGTGCTTCCCCACCCCGCAGATACACCTCTTTGTGCCTGAGAATTCACCCATCAACACCCGCTTAGCCATAGAGCATCCGGCTGTGGACCCGGACATGGGGACTAATGGGGTCCAGACCTACCACCTGCAAGATGACTATGGCGTTTTTACGTTGGACGTAGAGGAGAATGAAAATGGGGAAAGGACACCATACCTGATTGTCATGGGCACTTTGGACAGAGAGGCCAGGGATGAGTATGTTACCCTCATAAGTGCAGAGGATGGAGGAGTCCCGCCACTGGTGGGCAGTGCCACCCTCACTATTGGTATCAGCGACATCAACGACAATTGTCCCCAGTTCAACGAGACGCAGCTGAACGTCACTGTGTTTGGGAACTCTAGCCTTGGTTTGCGCATCGCCTCTGTCCATGCTACAGATGTGGATCAGGGAATCAATGCAGAGATTACCTATTCCTACAGCCAAAAGGTACCACCATCGTCCCGCAGTTTGTTTCACCTTGATGAAAGCACGGGCACCGTCAAGCTCGCCAAGAGGATCAGTGGGGACACGCCTCGTCTTCACAGGTTGAGCATACTGGCCAACGGTCCCGGATGTATCCCAGCTGTGATCACTGTGGTCGTATCCATAGTAAAAGTTATGCTGAGACCACCAGAAATAATCCCTCGTTTCATAGCGAATGAAGCCGAGGGGGTGGTTTACCTGAGGGAGCTGGAACCTGTCAACACACCGATAGCGTTTTTTACCATAAAGGACCCAGATGAGAAATACAAAGTGGATTGCTACTTGGAAGGGGACGGCCCGTTCAGATTGTCACCATACAAACCGTACCACAATGAGTATTTACTGGAAACTACGAAGCCTTTGGATTTTGAAACTCAGAGGGACTATGAAATATCAGTGGTTGCGTGGAATTCGGATGGATTCCACGTCAATAAAATAATTAAAGTGAACATTCTGGATGATAATGACAACTCACCTGTGTTCTCCCAGCTCCTTATAGAACTATCTATTGAGGAAAATAATTCCCCCAATGCTTTTTTGACCAAGCTGCACGCAACAGATGCTGACAGTGGAGAAAGAGGACAAGTATCTTATTTCCTAGGGCCTGAAGCCCCATCGTATTTCTCTTTAGATAAAGTCACAGGAGTCCTTACAGTTTCCACCCAACTGGATAGAGAAGAAAGAGAAAAATACCGCTATACTGTCAAAGCAGTAGATTGTGGAATGCCTCCCCGAGAATCAATAGCCACTGTGACCATCTCAGTATTGGATAAAAATGATAACAGTCCGAGATTTATTAACAAGGATTTCAGTTTTTTTGTACCAGAGAACTTCCCGGGCTTTGGCGAAATTGGAGTTATAAGTGTCACGGATGCAGATATCGGTCAAAATGGATGGGTTGCACTTTCCGTTGTAAATAGCAGTGACATCTTTGTTATTGACACGGGCAAAGGGGTGTTGAGGGCAAAGGTCTCCTTGGACAGGGAACAGCAGAGTTCCTATACCTTGTGGGTTGAAGCAGTTGACGGAGGTGACCCTCCTTTGTCCTCTACCGCAAAAATAACCGTCCTTTTGCTCGATATAAATGACAACCCACCAATGGTCTTGTTCCCTCAGTCAAATATGTCTTACCTCCTAGTGCTCCCCTCGACGCTGCCCGGATCTCCAATCACAGAAGTCTATGCCATAGATAACGACACCGGTATGAATGCAGTTATAGCATACAGCATCATTGGGAGAAGAGGTCCCCGTCCAGACTCCTTTAAAATTGATGCCAAGACAGGCAATATCACTCTGGAAGAGTCACTCATGCGAAATGATTATGGCCTCTACCGGCTTCTCGTTAAAGTTAGCGATCACGGCTATCCAGAACCGCTCCATTCTACAGTCATGGTGAACCTCTTTGTCAACGACACTGTGAGCAACGAGAGCTACATTGAAAGTCTGTTAAGAAAGGAACCGGACATAAATATCGAGGAAAAGGAGCCACAGATTTCAATAGAACCCACACACACAAAAGTAGAGTTGGCATCCTGCATGCCAACCTTAGTGGCCCTATCAATAATAAGCTTGGGTTCAATAACTCTGGTGACTGGGATGGGCATCTACATCTGCCTAAGGAAAGGAAGGAAGTATCACCACGGAGATGAAAACTTGGAAGTACAAATCCCATTAAATGGAGGACTCAGTCTGCATATGCTTGAGAAGAAACCAGTGGAGATTTCTAACATCTGATGGTTTCACACAAGACAATCACAACCAAAACTTAGAGAAATTTTGAACAATGATGAACTTCCCGAATGGGGAGAGTTGTTGGCAGCAGCTACAATGAAGGACCAATAATTTATTACGTATTATACATTGTACATAGCTGTTTACAGATTTTTTTAAGGGGAAAAAAAAGAAAATCAAATTCAGTGTACAGCTTTTTTTAAAAAATGAAATCTTAGTGCTAACAGCTATTAACCTTGTCTGAGAAGACATGGTCATCCCAAGAGCCGTCCATAAACCAAGTCAGGTTGCGTGAAGTGGCAGGTAAGATGGATGACACATTCTTTCTGTTCCTCATTCCTATAAGTCATTTTTGACCACAAGAGGGCATCAGCCATTCCTGTAAATAAGACCGTTTAAGAGAAAATGAAAAGTCTATTTTAAAATGTATTGTTTCTTTTTCTAAGGAATAAAAGATAATAAAGTATGTGCTCGAGGTATAATGAAAGTATGTTCTACTGTATGCGAGAAGATGACGATGAGAAAATATGCACTGGTAAATCGAAACAGAATGTTTTATTACCTCAGATATTTTTTTTTTTTAAAAAAGGAAAGGCATTAAGAAGTGCAATTTCTTGAGGGTGCGCACTATCCCCTTCTGAGATTATGAAGGGAACCAAGATGCTTACTGTCTATTGGATATGGACAGTTGAACACACTTCAACGGCTGTTAACAAATACTGTGGCATTTCTTTCAGAAAACAAAACAAATAACTCAATGGGGTCCGAAGAGGGATAGAGGGAGGGTGATATGACCAATTTCCTTAAGAAAAGAAAGAAAGTGCAGTGGTTTGTGCTTCATCCAATGCCTCTCTGGAAGGTCTCATCAAACTTTCTGGGCAGCTCTGACCAAGGGGAGAGAACTGGCATGCTGCCAGTGATCCTCTGTTCCAAGAGCCCGATCCTTCAAAATACAACATCCAGTGAAGTTCCATTGAGCCCAGGGGGATTCCCCCCAGGCCCGTAGCTAATGTGGGGCCCATGGGGCCTGGCCCCCTAGCTTTTCTTCCAGGCCCCCTCCCCCCAAAAGCCCTAGCTACGGGGCTGATTCCCCCCCCCCATTGCAGGGGACAGCAGCTGATACACAACGAAACAAGCGAATGGGAAAGTGTTATGTCTAATGGACGGTCTCTTATTGGAGAATCCAGTAGACCATCCCCCCTATCTGTGCAATCCATGCATTAAAAAAATGAATTTCCCCTCTTTCACATTACTTTCTGTCTGGTGCTTTTAGCTGGAGATGCCGGGGATTGAACTTGGGACCTTCTAGATGCCAGGCAGATGCTCTGCCACTGAGCCGTGACCCCTCCTGTCCCTATTTTAGGTACCAAAAGGATTCTGTAGGAGACAAAAAGCAGAGTCACTCACACCATAAACTGGTGAATCCAAGACCTTTCTTTTCCCAAGACAGGTGACCAAATGTTGTCAGAGCTGACCATGGTAATCATTCATTTGGCGTGAGTGTGACGGAGAGACCTTCTCTTGCCACATCCAGCTAGTGTTCCCTCTAAGCTGAGTTAGTGTGAGCTAGCTCACAGCTCACAGATTTTTGTCTTAGCTCAGGAAGGATGGCTCCAGAGCAAACTAATTTATGCAGTAGCCAAATCGCTCCCTCACAACTTTAATGCCAGTAGCTCACAAAGTAGAATTTTTGCTCACAAGACTCCACTGCTTAGAGGGAACATTGGTGCCCACCGTGAATGCCTCCTCATTCCAGATTAATACTGCTCTATACCCACCCATGCCCTACCATGAAAAAGTATTTTTGATCCGGTAATCTCAGTTAAACCCTGACTTGTCACAGAACTGCTTGTGATGCTTTTGTACTTTTGACAATCTGTTAGTAAATCCCCCCCCCTTCTTAATGTGATATTTCTGAATTAGATCATTTATATGGAATTGCTTCTCATTCGCAGTAATTTGGAATTTCACTTTTATGTGTTGATTATTGCTACTCTCTGGATGGGTCTTTTGTGCGAGGGTGCAACTAATTTTTGTTAATCTTTGGCCCCTCTTTATAAAGTTCTTCTGGATCGGGTCCAGAATTTTCCTTTTTTAATTTGTTTTGAAAATGTATATGCTGCCTCTCTTAGAGATGTGCTTGGAGACTTCCTAGGCATTTGTACACCTGTCTGCCTCTGCGGGTGAAAAGCAGAGGCTTCTTATCAGCAATGCACACCTTTAACATTCATTATAAGATCTCAAAAGCGTGTCAGACGCCTCTATCCGAGTGTTATCTTGTAAAACAAAGGCAAATTAGTGTTAAGGTTAAACCTGACACTTTCTTGAGTTCTGACAATATGTCTGTACTGTACCAAAAGTGTTTATATGTCTGCAAATAAAAACTCTATATTTTCATAATCTTTTTTTAAAAATCTGTTAGCATTTTATATAAAATTTAAAGACTTGCATTTTTGGGCCTTGAGGAGACTTCATGCCACATCATATGCCTTGCCAGCTCACCTGCATGGACTTTCTGTGGAAGGTGGTTCTTGATCTATACATCTGCTGCTGGTTATAGTGTTGCCAGGGCCTTACCTGGTGCCGGTGGGGGGTGGGAGGGAGCTTTCCGGGAGGGGGGTGACATCATCTTGCTGGGGATGTTGTGCAGCAACACTCTGGTTTTTGAGCAAACTCTATGGTAAAGTTGGGCTCGAGCCATAGAGTTTTGCCCCCAAATCAGAACGTCGTTGTGCGATGTCCCCAACATGATGACATAGGGCTGCCAAGTGGGGGCGGGTAAACCCCTGCTTTGGAGGCCCGATTTCTGCCGTTGCGGAATTGGGCCCCGGGGGAACCCCGCCCCCCGAATCGCAGCATGGATACGTCACAGGAAGTGATGCAACCATGTAGAGCACATTGGGGGCATGGCCCCAATCGTTGGAGGGAAAACTCTATGGTTTTCCCTCCAACAATTGGGGCCACGCCCCCAACGTGCTGTACGTCGTGCATCACTTCCTGTGACGTTCTGGTGGCACGTGTGTGCTTTGGGCGCGCGCACGTCCCTCGGCAGCTCCCGGACCGAAGCGACGCTCCCCCGCCGGTGAGTCAGAATGACTTGGCAACCCTATGATGACACCACTTCCTGTCCTGTCCAGCGCAAGCTGTGGCTAAGCCAGTGCTTTCTGGGTGTGAGTCAACACACGACCACTGAAGAAAGCTTAAATCATCTTTATTCAACTTCACATGCATTCAGAAGGTCATTTACTCACAATCATTTAGATAGCTGGGTGGAAAGTTACATCTTGTGATGTAGGTTAGTTCAATAGCCATGGTGAGAAAGAGATGGGCTTCCCCTCTCCTTGCCGTAAGGGTTGAAGATCAAAGAAATGGAAAAGAACAATAAACTCCTATCTTTGCACCTCTGAGCTCAGGAAATTGCTCTTAATGAGCCAGTCACAGGGAAGCTTCTGGGACCCCTAACTGTGAACTACAATTCCCAGGTGCAACAAGTCTTAAAGATACAGCGCAGTTTCACTAAACTACAGATAACGCTGACTGGGGGCAGCACACATAGAGTTTTGCCCCAAAATCAGAACGTCGTCGTGTGATGTCCCCAACACGATGACACCACTTCCACATGACGTCGTCATGTTGGGGGACGTCACACGGGGCTGCGGCTATTGGGAGCGGGACTTCCCCCCATCAGCCAAATCACAGGATACCCCACTCCCACCTGGGGACTGGCAACTATTTGGTTATTTATAGTCCACTTTCCTCTCAGAGACTCATGGTGGATTATATTTTATTTATTTGTTTATTATTTTGATTTCTATCCCGCCTTGCCGGACGAACTGGCTCAAGGTGGCTAACAAGCATTAAAATATAGTAAACAATAAATACACTAAAATTTCCAAAAGCAGCATAATTTACAATAAAAACAGTACAAATGATGGCGGCATTTAGTATACAGTCCTCTGATGGAAGGCAATGTCCAATGGTATGTCAAAGGGCCATGGTGTGTTCCGGCAGCTCATTTCATCAGTGGCGGCTCCTAATCAAACGCCTGGTGGAAGAGTTCTGTTTTGCAGGCCCTGAGGAACTGTAAAGGGTCCCACAGGGCCCTGATGTCCTCTGGGAGCTCGTGCCACCAGTGTAGTGTGGAGCCACCACTGAGAAGGCCCTGGCTCTTGTAGTAGCCAACCTAACTTCTTTCGGGCCAGGGAAAGTCAGGCGATTTTGTGTCACTGGATATAGTCTAAGTTGGGGGTTCTGGTTCAGGAATTTTGACACAGGGTGCTGGGCACCACAACACAATGACTTCTGCAGGAAGTGGAGACAATCACGTCATGGAGCGAGGTTATATATAATTCTCATAGTTATACCTCTATGGGCAATATAGAAATAAAATTAATAATTAAAAAGCAATAATACTAATAATAATAATAGTAGTAGTAGTAGTAGTAGATTTAGTGGGTAGCCGTGTTGGTCTGAAGCAGTAGAACAAAGTGTGAGTCCAGTGGGGCACCTTTAAGACCAACAAAGTTGAATTCTGGGTATAAGCTTCCGTGTGCACGCACAACTCTTCAGATACATTGAAATCTCTCTCTCTCTCTCATAGTAACTCTTCAACATTTCAGGCAGAAGCTCTGTTTGACAAGGATGCCTTTTCATCTGCACAGCCAATCAGAAGCCCTGCTGGTCAAAAGCCCCGCCTAGCCCCGTCCACTTTATAAAAATGCTTGCCGGGCACCAGGAATGGTGTTGGTGGGCACCCGCGTGCCCATGAGCGCCACGTTGGGGACCTGATGGGTCATCCAATGAAAAGAACAGGGTCTGGAGTACAGAACTCTAGTCTGGAGCCTATTCGCAGTGATGGGTAGCAACAAAGTAGTGCAGGCCGCAGTCTCTGTCCCTTTACCAATGCAACTTTCTGAACATATTTAACTTTCTGATCATATTACTTGTGAAGACAAATACATGTCAGGAGAAGCTTGTAGGGCATTCCAATATGTGATGAATGTATTGCCTTTTAAAACATGTAGATTTGGGTTGTTGTTGTTTTTTTTTTGCCAGTTCCAATTCCACGTCTTTCAGCTCTGTAGGGTCCTTTTCCAGCCACATGAAAGCCAGACGACAGCATGGGGCACACCTGTAGCAACAGCAGCTTTTGGTTTACGGGTAGGATCAGGGCTCTTTTTGTAGAAAAAGCCTAGCAGGAACTCATTAGCATAATAGGTCACACCCAACAGCAGGAACTCATTAGCATATTGGGCCACACCCCTGACAGCACAGCTCATTAGCACATTAGGCGGCACGTCCATGTTACCAGAAGTGTGGTTATCCAGCCACACCCACCTTTTGCTTGTTATTCTGTTGACCTTGTTTGTTGTCAAAACCCAGGGGCCTTTTTGTAGCAGGAACTCCTTTGCATGTTAGGCCACACACCCCTAATGTAGCCAATCCTAATGAGTTCCTGCTGTTGCGTGTGGCCTATTACGCTAATGAGTTCCTGCTGGGCGTGGCCAACTCGGGAGCCAGCCGGAACTCCGTTCCTGTGCGTTCCTGCCCAAAAATAGCCCTAGGTAGGATACCTGCAAAGGTCACTTCCCACATACTGGAATATCACTCCACGTGAACATGTGAAGCTTGCCTCACACCGAATGAAATCATTGGACCATCAAGGTCAGCATTGTCTACTCTGACTGGCAGCAACTCTCCTGGGTCTCAGACAGAGGTCTTTCACATCACCTACCGCTTGGTCCTCTAAAGGGGAGATGTCGGTGATTGAACCTGGGACCTTTTGCATGCCAAGCAGATGCTCTGCCACTGAGCCGTGGTGGTGACGGAAAGTGACATTGAGTCACAGTGGATTTATGGCGGCTCTGTTGGGTTTTCAAGGTGAGAGACGTGACAGAAGTGCTTTGCCATTGCCTTCCTCTTTGTAGGGACAACAGCCATCCTTGGTGGTCTCCCATCCAAGTATTAACCAGGGCTGACCTTGCTTAGCTTCCAAGATCTGATGAGATGGTGCTATCCTGGGCCATCTAGGACAGGCCCTGCTGAGCCGTAGCCCTT